GAGTGCTGGGCAGGGATTCAGAGCGGGTCCTCACAGCCTTTTAAAAGAATGCAGGGGCGAGGAGCTGACTCCTATAAGGGGGGGAGGGGAGAAGGCTGGGAGAAGTGGGGACACAAGCACTGGCCAGAACTGAGGAGTAGGGTGAACACCTTCTACAGAAATCTTGTGAAGGTTTCTGGCTCAAGGGTGGGCAGTGAGGGGTCTTGAGGAGACCCCTGCCCAGGATCAGGAAGCCCAGGTCGGTGCTGGTTACGTCTCCCACCTGCAGTAAAACGTCGGGGACCAACACCCTAGGTTTCTGGATACTGGGGATGGACAAGGGTGCACCGCATCTGTCCCTTGGGTGACGGGTGAGCTCGGCCTAGTCCGACCACGGATGGTGCTCGCTATAAGGGGAGAGGGTGCTAGAACTGGAATGAGGTTGTTGTGCCGTCCTGAGAGCGAGGCCCCTCATGTCCACACACCTAGCTGCTTCTCAAACCCGAGCCAGAGCTCGCCAGAATTTGGGAGGTTGGGGGAACGAGCTGGGAGGCCAGGGTTGGGGGGAGAGGCTTGTAGGGACCGCTCAGCAGCGGGGACGGGGAGTGGGATTGGGGGGGGGGCGGGCCGCACTTCCACCCAGGGCCAAGACCCTATAGCGCGCTGGGGATGGGGGTCTGGGAAGAGGACAGAATGGGGACTTACCCGCGAACAGCCAGAGGGATCCCCCGGAGACGAGGAAGAAGGTCAGCATGTCGGTAAGCGGGGCCCGGCCTGGCCCCGCACGGCCTCCCTGGCCCGCAGCCCCGCAGCCCCAGCAGTCGCCGCGCCGCCGCCGCCGCCGCCGCCGCCGCCGGGTATTTTTAGCCCCCGCCCCCCGGCTCCGCAGCGCCCCCCCTCTCCGCGCCGCTGCTGAGTCCTGGCAGGAGGGGGAGGGCGCGGCGCGCGCTCCGCACCTGAGCCCCCTGCCAGCCCCGCAGCCTGCGGAGTTCGGGGCGCCTCCCGCGCTCCAAGCCGCGTCGGAACCGCCGAGGCCGGGCGGGGGAGGGGCCGGCCGCAGGGCCAACCAGCCTTCTGCGCCCCCGCCCCCAACGTCAGGACCAGGCGTTCTGGGAAAACCGGCAGGAGAGGGGCGCACGGGAGAAGAGCGCGGGACCGTGACGCCGCGCCCACCCCACCGCTGCGCGACCCTTACCCCGCGTGATTGCTGGGCAGACTCTGGTGGCAGAGGCGTTGCAGTCACCTGTTCTAAGAGGCACATGTGCCTGTGGGCCAGTTTCCGCTAACGCGGACGCCCCCTAGGACCCAAGTTTGCAGACACCAGGAGCCTCTGCCAAGTCCGCAAGCCAGTGAGGAGAGAGGTGGTGTGTCTGTATAGGCTCTGGCGAAGGGATTAGGAGCCCAGATTAGTGCCCAGATGGGGGGGGGGGCAAGCCAGTGAGGAGAGAGGTGGTGTGTCTGTATAGGCTCTGGCGAAGGGATTAGGAGCCCAGATTAGTGCCCAGATTCCCTGGGGACCCCAGACCTCAGATCTCCCCTTCTGGGAAGGTTGGATCTGAGGCCATCAAGGTCACAGGAGGCTCCATGTAGTCACAGCCTGCCACATGGGGTCACAGGAAGCCACATGGAATCACAGGTGTTTCTTGAGGACACAGGCGATCATGGTCTTCATACATAGCTATTTGTGGCACATGAGGCCTCAAGAAGCCCCTCATAGCTACAGTGAATGTCTATATGGCCACCCACAGGCGTGTATGGCCACAATTTTGGCAGAGGGGTTAGACAAGTTCTGTTTCAGTGTCTGGGATGGAGGGAGAAACCCCAGTTGTACATTCTTCCAAAAGAATAAGTAGAATAAATGTAGATATCCTGCTGGGTCCTACACTTACACCCCGCTTTCAAGGTCACCTCCTCCCAACACTCTTGCCTGTTCTCAAATGTGCTTGTCCTACCAGGCATCCAGCACCGAGGACAGCGCTCAAGCAGCCCAACCCAGAACACATGAAGAAAAGGGTAGGAAACCAGAGGTTAGAGGTCAGGTGGCTTAGAGTGGAAGAGCCAGAGGTCTCTTCAGACTCACCAGCGACCACCTGCCCTATGTGCACATGTGCTCAACAACTTAGCATTTAGGGTGTGAGTTTGTGCAGCAGCCTCTGCCTGTAGTACTAGTATACGGCATGTGTGCGCCCAGCCCCAAACATATACACCCTATAGGTGTAAATGTGCAGATGTGTGCCTCTGAGACACTTCCCATGTTTACAATAGGACCTTCCACCTTCTTTCCCACCTCAGGATCTGGACTCTGGGAGAAATGCTCCTGCTGGAACCCAGGCACAGCCTGGCAGGGACTGTGGAATCTCTCATGCTCCAGGCTTAGAAGGCTCCAAAAGGGTGTCACATGTCTGTCAGAATACCTCCCCCACCAAACTCCCTCTGGCAGCAGATTAACTGAAGACTTACTGGTGCCCAAAGGAGACCCGGGGGGAACCAGAAGGCTGGGCAGAAAGAAGGTATCTCTCCAGATCAGATTAGTCTATAGAGATGGGCAGGCAATTTCTCCACAGGACAGGGGAGCCAACAAAGAATTTCTTTGGGGAGCAGAGGGCCCAGAAGCCATGCTACTAGCCTCAGGCCCAGCTTTCCTCTGCAGCACTCAGGTGCAGAAATGCTCCAGGCCCTTCCGTGGCTCCTGGCAGCCTCCTCTCCAGAGTGATGTCATGGGACACATTTAGCCTGGCCTCCTGCAGGATGTCGCATCCAGTTACTCTCCCTACAGATGTCTCTGCTACTTGTGAATAATCTGATTCAAAAAGATGAGCTGGAGCAGAGACAGATTACAGCTTAACTGAGTATTTTTCTTTTCTTTGAGAGTGGCTTGCCTCCCCCTACTCCCTGAGGGGTGGGGATTGGAAGACTATGGGCCTAGCTGTGGAATCATGGGCCAGATAGCTTTCCACTTTAGGCCTGTTCCTACCACTGGCTGTAGGGACTTGTTCTTTTCTGTCCTTGGTTCCAGAGGTCTCTTTCCCCTTCTGTGGGTGTCCATCTATGGACCTTCTGTGGGCCTCAACAATTGTGACTCTGAGGCATCCAGGCTGCATGGATATGATAGCCATGGGACCCAGAAGGAGGGGACCCAGGACCCAGAGATACTTAGTCCAGGCTGAGGGCCCTTGGACTTCTCTCTTAATCAGCAAGGTCAGCCACAGTAGTGGCCAGCTCTTTTCACATCCATCTCCTCCCAGCCCAGCACCTTGAGAGAGCAGGCAGGTAGGATCTGGATCATGTTTTCAGACCGTGACACAGGGTCTGGTTCAGAGAATGCAGAGATTATTTTCTTCAACAGAGTAGGAGACCAGTGTCTGAGGAGCAGAACATCTGCCTTAGGTCATATGGCAGACTCCCATTCATTCATTCATTCACTCATTCAACTAATGTTCATTAACACATGTTTTTGGCCCCCTGATTGGAACCAAGGAGGGGAAAAGGCAAATAGGAAACAGCAGTAATGAGCAGTTCAGGTGGTGAGTGTGAAGACAAGCATTTGATCCTGGCCTCACCCAGGGCAGACATCCTGAAGGAAGAAATATTCTAGTGGGGCCTTAAAACTTGCCAGGCATCAAAGTGGGGCACCACTCCCAGTCCTGGCTGCAGTTCTGCCATGCTGTGCAGCCTTGGGCAAGCTTTTGTCCCTCTCTGTGTCCATTGGTACAAGGAGGGGCTAAGTCAAGGTTTCTGAGCATCAGGATTAACTGGCCATGACTCTGCTGCCTCTTTATCATCACAGATGGCCACCCTCTGGTCTGTGAGGCCCAGTGTCCACCACTCTGTGTCCAGCCTGACCATGGCCCTAAAAGCCAGACAAGGATGGCCTCAGCCACCCTGGGCTCGGTTTTCCTGAAGTTAGGTAGAATCCAGAGAACTCTCTTTTATAGCCTCCTAGGCAGGAAGGGGTGGATAAGTGACTTAGACCATGCCAGTGAGATACACCCTCGTAAACCTTTGATTCAAAATCCAGCAATAAGCAAGAGGAAGTCCTATGTGTGGTCTCCATCTTACTGGCACAGGCTGGGAGCAAAAACAATGTATAAAGGATGGTTTGTGGAGTTGTTCTTAGAAGCTGAGAACTGACCCTTTTTCTTGAGCCTTTCCACAAATTCTGTGAGCTACTTAACATTCTTTAATGTGCTCCTTTTCTGCTTAAAATAGTCAATATGGATTTTATTGCTTGCAGTCAAGAATTCAGACTGACTTACTCACTGTCCCACTGCTAAAGGTCTTTCTAGCCCTTACAGCATGACACTCCCACACCCACATCCTTGCATCCATGAGGAAATGGAAGCTCCAGCTGGTGGGCCTGTGGGAGCTGAGCCCCGTTTTTGTTTCTCTCCACTTTGACAACCACAAATATGAAGAGCTGAGCCAGAACCTGAAACCCTATCCAGAGTGAAGGCTGGGAATATGTGATGAAATGGGTATAGATCTGCAAACAAGTGTCAACCCATGCCTTTTATTGAATAGTAGTATTTTCCCCCAGATTAATACAACTGTTCAATGTAGAGATGTTAGAAAATATGGGAAAGAATAAACTACAGTCATTTGTAATTTCATTCCCCGAGGATAATAACCAATGTGGTTTTGTATATTTTCTAACAATAATAATAGTAATCATAATATCAAACATTCATATAGTACTTAGTATGTACTAGGCATTCTTTTTTTCCCTCTTTTTAAAAATATTTTATTTTTAAGTAATCTCTACACACAAATGGGGTTCAAACTCACAACCCTGAGATCAAGAGTCCCATGTTCTACTAAATAAGCCAGCCAGGCTCATTATTTATAATGAGCATTATTAGCCAGGCATTATTTATAAGTATTTTACATATGTGTTACAGACTGAATTGTATCCTCCCCCCACCCCCGAAATTCATATGTTGAAGCCCTAACCTCCAATGTGATTGTATTTGGAGACAGGGACTTTAAGGAGATAATTAAGGTTAAATGAGGTCATAAGGGTGGAGTCCTGATCTAATAGATCTAGCATCATTATAAGAAGAGGAAGAGACACCAGGAGGGCACACACACAGAGAAAGACTGTGTTGAGGATGCGGTAAGAAGACAGCCATCTGCAAGCCAATTAGAGAGGTCTCACCAGATACCAACACTGCTGACATCATGATCTTGGACTTCCAGCCTCCAGAGCTGTGAGAAAATAAATTTCTGTTGTTTAAGCCACCCAATTTGTGGTATTTTGTTATGGAATCTCTAGAAGACTGATACAGTATGTTAAGTCATTTAATCTTTATATCAGTCCTGTCTTTCCCCCATTCATAAGAGTTTAATAAATATTTGTTAAATGAATGAATGATGGATACAGTTTATTCAGTACCATATGCTTCTTTTTTAAAACCTAACCACATGAGTATTTTCTCCACATTATTACCTCTTTAAATTTAAAAAGTGGATATGTGATAATCATTCATGCATTTATTCAGTTAACAAGTATATGCTGAGTCCCTGCTATGTGCAAGGCATTGTGTAGGTACTTGGGATGTGGAGGTGAAGAAACAAATGGAAAGTCCCTGCCCACATACAGTGTGTTTGCGCCATAGAAATCCTACTGCCTAACTGTCAGACATGGACTGACCCATGCATTTGGGAAGGTTTCTTTTGATTGAAAGTTTTATGATGAGCCAACTAGACAGACACAAGCTACCAGATTCTCTACTTTTGAAAAGGCCAACCAAATGACTCAAAGTCTCTTGGTATTTCTTCAGAGTCATAGAAGGACAAAGATGAGTGCCTTGGAATTTGTCCTGAGTCCACAGGTCTGGAAGTTAGGGCTAATCAAGCCACCAGCACCAGATCCCAAGGAGACCCCTGGGTCTCCCACTCACACAAGGTCAGGATTTGATGGGAAATAAATCACATTTTCAAGACTTTGAAAAACGAAGCAAACAAAAATAATTGAAGAAAATATAGATGAATGTGTATACCATCTAGAGGTAGGGAAAATCTTGAAGTACAACATGAAGGCAGTAACCACAAAGGAAAACACTGGTAGATTGGAAGATCTGACTGCATGCAAATTTTAAATGTCTGCATCTTAAAAACCACCATTAAGAGAATCTAACAGATAACTTGCAAAAAATATTTACACCACAGACAACAGGAAAAGGTTTTGACATGTTACCCAAATCAAGAAGAAAAAGACAAATAAGCAAAGGACATGGACAGGGAACTGAAGAAAGAAGAAATACTGCCCTTCTCTGTATAGCTGGCCATGGAAGTGAACAATGAAACTACTGCCTGAAGGTCACCATCCCTTTTCCTGTCTCCTTCCACCAACAACTGGTGGGGTCCCCTCTCCCAGATATGTCACAAGGGCACTCAGAAGACTACCATTCCAAAAGCTCCACCTCACCCATCTGGAAGGATCTCCCTGGCCCCCTTCACTATTTCCATCGCACAAGAATTCAGACCCTTTTCCCTCGCAACCACCTAGGCAACTCAGCTCTATGGGCACACCAATGATCTCGGTAGGAAGGTAGAGATCAGGAAAAAGTATGGGCATCTGAAGGTCTGACATTTTGCAAACCCCTTTTGAAAGGCAGTATGGCAAGGTGTATCACAAACCTCCCAAAATTCTTAACTTTGACTACTACTCAGGAATGAGCACACAGGGGAAACATTAGGAAGTATTTGTTCACAAGGATTGTCATTGCAATATCTTACAACAGGGCCAGACTGGAAACTGCCCAAATATTCAATCACAAACTGAATTCGTTTTTGTGCATCTCTAAGATGGTATATGCACTTCTGCCCGAAACACAATGATGCAGATCACTGCACAATGACACAGAGAGATGCTCATGGCAGGCAGCCAGCTGAAAAATGCAGCTTATGGAGACAGTATATTCAGTACAATTCCAATTATGTTTGAAATCATTTGTATATTCATGGGAAAAAAATGGACAAACGTTGAATAGCTTTTATCACTGAGTGATGGGATTATAAGGTCTTTTCTCTTCTTCAAATTCAACCGTATTTTCCAAATTTTCTACAATGAATAGACATTTTTGTAACAAGGAGAAATCTAATATCAGAAGAAGCCATTGCCCAGAACCCTCTCTCCGTTCAGAAAGGGCTGGCATATCGAAGAGTGAAAGCAGGCCATGGGAAGACCTTTAGAGAATTCAGAAGGATATTCCTCCCAAATGGCAGGAAAGGCAGGGTGTGAGGAGAGGGTCAGTGCTACAAGACTCCTTACTTCCTGACTCTGTGGGCTCTAGGCATTTGCCCCAGGCTTCCGTTTCTCTGGCAGCCATTAGAAGTCCTCACTGACCTGGGGCTAGTGAGGGAGATGAGGGTTGGAGGTGGCCATGAGGACCTTTAGAGTGGCACATGTCAGCCCAGGAAGATGTTACAGAAGGAGGGGAGGCAGGCAGAGGCAGACTCTTCGGAAGGAGATCTCAGGGAAGGGCCAGGTACCAGGGAAGGCCAAGGAGATATGAATTTCCAGAAGAGGATGATGCGTTCCTGGAGGCAGGCAGAATGTTCCCATCTCAGAGCTCATTATAGAGAACCAAAAAATCAATGCCTAAGTCATTGACCACATGACTCAGACCCAGGGAGAACAAAACCTGCTTTGGCGAGGCAGTGGTGGGGGGCGGGGGAGGGGGCTGCTCTCTTAAGTCCAGGAGAAAACCAAGAACACAACACAGAGCACTTCAAAGGTGGGAGGAAAACCACTAGAAATTGGCTAGAGGGTGCCAGAAAGGTGACAATGGGTCCTGCCAAAAGAAAACAACCCCAAGTACCAGGGTCTGATCACCCAGAAAGGCCAGCTGGGCGGGGGCTCAGGACATCTGGGCCAGCTGTCTTGTCCTCCCTAATCCTAGAGGCCCAGGGAGGCTAAGGAACTTGATTTCGGTCACACAGAAAAACTGAGATGAGGATCAAACCAGACCTTAGACATTCTAACTCCCAGCCTAATGTATCACCCACTACCCCAAAGGGAGAATTTTTTTTTAAATTTGATAATGTAAGTAATCCCTCTATGATAAAAATTATCTGAAACTATATGAATGTATGATTTGTCATCCAATTCAATTTAGGAGATAAATACAGACAGAATTCCAAAACTCAATTTTTAAAAAACTAAAAATAGATAAACCAATGTCAGATATAAATATAGGCACAAAAATCCTAGATGAAATCTTAACAGGCAGATTAAATATGTAAATTGAATTTTCACTGAAATAAAAGAGACCCTAGTTGCAGGGTGCCCAGCTGATGCGGAACAAGCAGCCAGGGGTCGTACCCACAGACGTATGGAGTGTCAACCAGGCACAAATGCATGGTGAGCTCCAGTTCTGCTCCCACTCTAAGCTGTAAGGATGTTAGGATTATCTCTGCACCAACTTCTTTAGCAAACATTGCTCTTACTATCCCCTTTAGTTCCATCCACAACTTTACAAAAGGGGCTACCAAGTTCACACAAGGTGACTCTGTCCTCTGGTCATTGGTAACTGGTCCAATAGCTGGACCCATCGTCATTCTTTCCTGGGAATTTGGGATTGGAATTTTAGTCCTTTTCTGCAGAGAGCATACATTGGCAGAGAATGTAAAAAAATGAAGCAAATGTGCCCAGAAGAGCAGAGATGAGAAACAGAGGAATTCACTGTCAGGTTCTCTACAGGGTCAATGAGGGGTGGGGAAAGTCAGTATATAACAGCAGACCAGGAAAGCCACCAGGCCCAACTCTGCTGCATCTCAAAACAAATCCCAGGGCAAGATTTCCAGCCCATCTATAAAGGAACTGGAGTTTTCAGGGACCCTCATTTCTGGCTGTGCCCATATCCCTGATATCAGGGCATCTGGCGAGCCCACCTGCATTCCTGCATTTGGAACATGTGAGGTAGTTTCCAAGGACCATTGCAGTCCTTTGTGCTAATAATACCTAATTTTGCAGCTGAAGATATCGAAGCTTAGAGAGCTGAAGTAACTTACCCAAGATCCCAAGGCAGCCTGAGATCTGAATCCAGAGCCATTCAGTTCCCCGAATTGTGTTCTTTCCATTATACCTACAGACAGGAAAATTGGCAAAAGTCACTTAAAGAGGAATCCACAAGAACCCCGCATCTTTTCTTAATAAAACCTCTGAAAATTAGGAATAGGGATTTTTTTTTTATGTAAAAGAAGAGGAAAAAGAGTTAATTTCTTGGGAAGAGGACATTCGAATTTGGGAGTCAGTATATCTTTCAGTGGGAAAAGATGGCAAGTTTAACCTCAGCACCCCCAGTAATCACAGGCGTTGCTCTCTTCCCCAAAGCTGTGATGTGGTTTATGTGTGGGCAGACCCCAGATGGAAGGAAAGAGAACATCCCTTGAATCGTAGAAATACCAGGGCCAACCACGAGCTCTCAGTGATGACACAGCAGCAGGGAATTCACCTAAAATACCAGGGCATCCTGCATACGTATGCTACGTAATCCCAACTCCATCCAAAATAATTACAAAAATACATTTTTAATTTATTTCAAAGATTTTACTTATTTATTTGAGAGAGAGAGCACGTACCTGTGTGCCCCTGGGGGGTGTGGGTGGTGGGGAGGGAAAGAGGGAGAGGGAGAAGCAGGCTCCCCGCTGAGCAGGGAGCCCGACACAGGGCTCAATCCTAGGACCCTGAAATCAGGACCTGAGTTGAAGGCAGACACTTAACCGACTGAGCCACACAGGCACCCCTCAAAATCAAATGAAATATATATTTTATATGTGTATATATAAATTTTATATATATATAAAATTGTATTTCTTTATTTGACAAAGAGACACAGTGAGAGAAGAACACAAGCAGGAGGAGTGGGAGAGGACGAAGAGGCTTCCTGCTGAGCAGGGAGCCTGATGCAGGGCTGGATTCCAGGACCCTGGGATCATGACCTGAGTTGAAGCCAGCCGCTTAATGACTGAGCCACCCAGGTACCCCTCAAAAAATATTCTAAATCTATAGATTGAAAGTTCCCAAACGAGGAAAAAATTATGGGATGTGAAACACCCAAGATGGAGCTGCTGGGCCAAGTATGTGATGAAGAGATGAGTTTCACAAGGTGAATTGCCACAGACCTCGGGGTAAGGAGTGAGGCAGGGGACTCAGCTGCCAACACCTGTGGAGAGTCAGACTAAAACACTGCCACCCCCTCCAGTCAGCACTTGGGCTGCCTTCATCTCGTACTCAGCCTTCTGGCATTCAGGAGACACTCAATGAAAGTTTGGTGTTGTAGAATTTTAGAATGACAGAGAAATCATTAAGCAGATATAAGCACCCATAGGATTCATCCTGGTGGAGAATTAGAAAAAATGTACCACGCAGGATTTGTGCTTGAGTCAGCGTGAGACTTTTGGTAGCAGGGAGGATGGACCTCTAAACTCTGCCCTTAAGAAACATCAGGAAAGATTTCTTCAGGTGGTGAGGGGGCAGCTGAAGGAAGACAGAGCACTGGGGAGACAGGTCCTCCTTCCAAGTACCTCTGCTCCCTCTGGACCCCTTCCCAGGACCCTGCCCCACAACATATACACACATTCAGCCCCTCCTCCTCCTCTTCCTTGGGTCCTACCATTCCCATCACTGTGTTCCTCAGGGACAGATCCTCTTGCCAGAGTACGAAGTTCAGGGGCTCTAGCCAGCCATAAACGCCCAAGGCCTGTCTCTGCTGAACCTCCTGCTTTATTAACCCCAACTCCCTCCACATGCTCTCTGTTCCACTGGGTTTGTGCTCTTCCCAAGACACCTGTTTCCGTGGTTCCTTGGCTGGGAGGATCACGTTTCTCTTGTTGCACCCAAGTATCTATGCATCCAGAGCAGACTGTCTTTCCAACCCAAGTACAAATGACCTCACTGGGGAAGATCATTCATATCTGAGGACAGGAAGGCATGCTGATCTGTACTCCTGTTTTGGGGTCTTCAAACTGAGTTCTGCCTCCATATGTGGATGGAAGATTCAAAGAGGAAAGAAAGTGAGTGTGTAGAGGGTAGAAACTACAAGAGAAGCAACTAAAAATGGTGGTACTAAATAGAAATGTTTATATAAGATGTCTGAATGTTTATTATGAAAATATAACAGAAAAGATACAGAAAAAAAAATAGTACATTCACAAAAGCAACAAAAAAAACCCAGAAAATAACTAGGTGGTGGGTGGGCGCATGGGTGGCTCAGTTGGTTAATTGCCTGACTCTCCGTTTCAGCTCAGGTCATGATCTCAGGGTCATAGGGTTGTGGAATCGAGCCCCACTTTGCGCTTCATGCTCAGCAGGAGTGTGCTTGGATATTCTCTCCCTCTGCCCCTTCCCCTATTTGTGTTCCTTCTCTCTCTTAAAAAAGAAAAAAATATATAAATAACTTAAAAATAAATAAATAAGAAAATAGTGGGACTAAACAAGATATGTATGGGACATGGGTGAAGGATGCTATAGAACTTCATAGAATGACATAAAAGAAGACTTCAGTGAATGGAGAAACTAATTTCCTGAATGAAAATACTAGATTACAAAAATGTCAATTCACTCCACAGAGGGGTCTATGTTTAATGCAGCTTCAATTTTCAACTCAACAAATGGATTTGAATTTAATTTAAAGAACATACCTATAGGGGCGCCTGGGTGACTCAGTGGGTTAAAGCCTCTGCCTTCCGCAGAGGTCCTGATCCCAGGGTCCTGGGATTGAGCCCTGCATCAGGCTCTCTGCTCAGCAGGGAGCCTGCTTCCCTCTCTCTCTCTGCCTGCCTCTCTGCCTACTTGTGATCTGTCTGTCAAATAAATAAATAAAATCTTTAAAAAAAAAAAAAAGAACATACCTGTACAATACTGGCTGAGAGTCGTCTTTGAAAGGAGAGTAATACTAAAAACTAAAAGGCCGAAATAAGTAATGTAATGGACAGCACAAACATTAAGTCCGTGACACCAGTGCAGAAATCGGACCAACTGATAGAAAGATCAAATACAAATACATGAAATTTTAAAAATTTCACAATCCCCAAATATTGACTATATGAGGGGCTCATATAAATCAATGAGAAAATACATGTTGGAAAGAATCGGGCGAGAAGATGACTAAGTAGTGAAGAAAAGAAAATACAAAAGGCTAGTAAAAATATAAAAATTAGCCCCACAAGTAATCAAAGAAAACTCAATAGCAATCAGGTACATCTTTTTTTTTTTTTAATCAATTATCAAGGTTTAAAACATGGCCACAGATTCCTCTGAAGGAGTTTAGGACAAGGGTTTGGATAAGCCTGTTTTGGGTGGGAGGGCAATTTGGCAAAATGTATAGAAATTTGAAGTAAAGCACATTCAGTCCACAATTCCACTTCTAATACATATAATTCCTTGGCCCTAGGAATTTATCTTCAGGGATAATGTGCAGAAATAGCTATAGATGAATATTCAAAGATGTTTAGCATGATGTTACCTATAGATAAAAAATTCAAGGCAACTTCAATATCTAAGTGGGTTGGATAAAACAATTAGTGTATACACATAGCACAAAATATTTTGCAGTCATTAAACATAATGGCATAAAAGAATACATACTGATGCCAGAAAATGTTGACAATGCATTAAGTGAAAACAAGTTATGATATTCTAATGACAAATACTTATGGAATGGCTACCATATACCAGTGAACAAAGTAGATAAAACTCATACTCTCAGAGAGCTTTCATTCCCTTCTAAAATCTATAAACTGGAAGATAAGGTATGGTTCCAATTAACAGAAAGATGTGGTTGGAAGGATGTCAGGAAAGACAGAGACCCATGTGTCAAAAGTAAGGGACTGCCTCTGAATTTGGGAATGAGGGTGGTTTTTGTGCTCTTTCTTGGTGCTTGTCTGAGTTTTCCAGACTTTTTATAATGAACATACATCACACTTGTAGCCAGAAAAAAAGAAGAAACAACAAAACTGGAATGTCATCTTTTTTCAAAGAATGCAAGTGGAGACCTATGAAGTAGGTGGCTTTTCAAAACAGGGATTTGGGGCACCTAGGTGGCTTAGCTGGTTAAGTGTCTACCTTTGGCACAGATCATGGTTCCAGGGTCTTGGGATCCAGTCCCACACTGGGCTCCCTGCTCAGCGGGCAGCCTGCCTCTCCCTCTGCCTCTGCTGCTCCCCCTGCTTGCTCTCTCTCTCCCTGACAAATAATTAAATAAACATTTTTTAAGAAACAATACAAGGACTAGTTATAAACACATCACCCCAGCTATGGCGAAGATAGGCTGGGGTGGGTATGGAGGTGAGGGGTGGTGGGGAAGGGCATCATCAGCAGAAATGCATGTAAAATCCAGATAACACAGGATGAGCAGTGGGAGGAAAGAAAAGTCCAGGCCAAGGAACATCTTAAAAGTCTTTCTCTAATATCCTCCCACAGAATCATACTGATCCTGATCACAGCTTCTTTCCCATGAGTCAGTGCCCTCTCATCACCATGAACGGTTGAGGCCCAGGCTTCCCCAGCGCAGCCAAGACACACAGACAGGTGGCTCACTGCCTTGACTCAATCCTTCCTAACTTTTTTTCCTTTTTTTAAACCTCTACTGCCTTTTTGGAAATTGGCTTTTAGATTTGATCACTAATTATTCCATCACTTGTTCACTTTTATTCATCAAATGTTGTCCTTGGGCCCCCTCCAGGCAGTGGGTGACTGAGATCCTTTTCCATACCTGAGTTGTCAGAGATCCCCTCATCCCACCCTCAACAATCAGTTCAGCCAAGTCCAAGCCAAGTCTCTCTTCCACAGAGACCTAAGGTCTTGGAGTCAGTCACGGGTGGATCTTGACCCCCGAAATTATAGACATGGTCTTTCCATGCTGACCATCCCTCATGTGGCTACTTTCACTGGTGTGGACCGAGTTCTGGGCTGGAGTTGGGTGTTTTATCCTTGTGGCATGAGCTAGGAAACAAGACAGCTCAGAAGGAGGTTAATCCTTCAAAATATGATCATAACATGTACAGTGGCTCAGCCCCAGCTTATTATTGGGCTTTTCCTGGGTCAGGTCCTACCCTCACCCCCGGACAGTCTCCAAGGGTGACCAGGACTTCTGGGACCCTGTTCCAGCCCTCTCTTTCCAGTCAATCACTTCTGAGACTCCTCTTCCATCACCCTTATCCTCACACATCTCACACAAACACGTAACTTTCTGGCACTCATGCTGTCCTTCCCACCATGCCAGTTGTTGGAACTCTACTGTCTCTTATCCTTCATGTCCACTCCTTTCCAGCCCCAAACCCACGCTGCCCATTCCCTAACCAGTCACTTGGTCAGTGTGCAGGACTTCCCGTCTGTGCTGATCCCACAAGGAGTGGGCCTCTCCCTCTTCTCCACGCTGCGTCCTTCCCCGGGCCAGGTGGGGCTGCAGACCAGAGGCGGGTGCAGGCAGTCGCAGTGTGTTGCCCCATCCAGGATTCACATCCTTGTTGTCATCGTGCTTTTCTTACCCACTGGTTTTCAATGTAGCTGAAGGGAAACGATTTTCTCTTTCAATTCCATGACAACACGCTGCCTAGGCTTTCCTTCCCCCTCGTTGCTCCTTCGCATCCCCCTTTGCTGGCTTCTCCTCAGGGGCAGTCCTACTTCCAAATACTGCCGGGCCCCGGGGCTGAGTCTGCAGATCGCCATTTACACTGACTCCTCAGGTGTCCTCTTCCAGCCTCATGCTGTGAGTACTACCAGTCACTAGTGACAACTCAACATTCATTCCCAGTCCGATCCCTCTCCTGGGCTTCAGACTCCTCCATCCAGCCTCCCTCCTCATAGCTCCCACTGGACATCTGAATGGCATCACCAGGAAGCCACACCTGTGTGGACCATGAGGGCTGCCTTCTCGGCATCCATTCCATTCCTGTTTTGGTAAGCAGATCCTCCTACCTGCAGCTGCAGGGGTAGCCTCTGGTGAAGAAAGTTAGGATAACCCCATCCCTATTTGCCATGGTGATTGGTGATTTAAATTGGTTCCGTCAAACTGAACAAAAGTTCAGGACTTTTGTTTAATCGTTGGGCAGTAGAAGCTTCTTCCACTGGGTGACAGGACTGAAACACATACAGCCATTCTGCTCCACCAAGGCAAGCCAGATTGAGGACAAAGTAAGATTTAAGGACCCATGGAGAAGCTCTGATCAAACTAGGCCTAAATTCTGGACTTTTCAGTTGTCAGAGTCAATACCTTTCCCTTGATGTTCAGGCCAGTTTCACTCATACATTCTATTATTTGGCAATTGGAGAATCATGATCCATAGAAAAGCAAAAAAGTGGGTATTCCCATTACCCCATCAACCTGCTTTTTTGTGGTCTTCCCCATCTCAGTTCATGGCAGCCCATTCCATTCAGCGGCTTGATCAAAACCTGTCAACTCATCTCTGACTCCTTTTATACTCTCATGCCCCATATCCTGTCTCTCAGCTTTACTCAGCTCTACTTTCAACATATAAATGGAGCCCATCCATGCCTAACCTTGACCCATTGCTGTCCACTCTGTCACAACAGCCAGACTAATTTTTGAAAAACCTAAATTAGATCCTATCATTAGATTGCCATAAAATCCTCCAACTTGGGACTAGAATCCAGGTCCAAGGCTATCTGTGATCTAGCCCTGCCCACCCTTCGGACTCATTCCCTTCCACTGTCCCCTCCCCATCTACACTGGTCTCCTTTTCCTCAAGGACTCCCTGAAACCCATGATAGGACTTGGCGCTGCTCTTCTATACCCCTATTTTTCCTACGGTTGCCTGTCTCTTGTCCCTCATGTCTGAACTCATGCTCTCTTTCAAGGAAGTCTTGTTTGAGGACCCAGTCTCATGGCGCCCACACAAGCTTGATCATAGTTCCTTGTTTTGTTTAACTAATAACACTTATCACTATCTTCAATTATCCTCTTTGTATTCACGTCTTTATGGTCGGTTCCTCTCCTGGGAGCTCCTTCAGGGCAGACCCAGTCTTTCTTGTTCATTGCTGGATCCTAAGACTGAACATTCATTGTGTTTGGACAGAGCATGAATCCCAGCAATATGTGTGGCCACCACACAGAAGCAGAAGGTGGCCAAGCCTCACACACATGCGATGCTCTGCCCCACAGCAGTAGAAGCCAGTGTTCTCTGTCAGGCATCTGGACAGAGCAGGGTATAGAGGCAGAGGAGAGAGTGTGGAGGACAATCTGTGAAGCTTTCAGGAACCGGGACTTCCGAGGGTAGTTCACATCAGTTCCCAGCTGCGCTATGGAAAAAGCGTCAGAGAAAAAGAGCCCAAGAAACCTCTGTGGCCGCAGTCATGGGAAGCCCCAAGCAGAGAGGTTGTGGGGTGAGGTGTGTGTGGGGAGGTCTCAAGTCACCCTGAGGTCTTTGGTCACAGATTCCACATGTGCAGGGACAGGGGGGACCTCTAGGGTTGCTGGTGCCAGCAACCACACTGACCACTGCAGCTTCATGGGCAGAAGATGCCATCTGGGAGAGAGTGGGCACTGCTGTCACTACGGGCCTCGGGTCAGGTCCAGGACTCTGCTGGACTGAGGCCACTCAAGCCCAAGCTGGGGAGGGGGTACTGTACACATTTCCTGGCACACACTTCCTTTCTCCTTTTAGATGAGCAAATGTTGCTGCTGAGGCCTTGGCCACAGCTTCCTGCCTCCTCCTGAGATCTAAAGCCACAGTCACTGTCTTTGTGACAGCCTTGCCAGACTAGCCTTGGCTTCAGAGACAAAGGGCTAGGTGCCCTGTCCCCACTCCCAGGCTCTCCCAAGATGGGGGCTCTTATCATCTGAAGACATGCTTAGTGGCAGCCAGCTTGCTGTCCTGGGGAGGCGCAGACCTGGCTCTGGATGGACAAGACAGCTCTGGACAGACCTGCACTTGGTAAGGGCAGGGCAGAGCATGCTATCACTCCAGCTCCACGTCCTGGAAAATCCCACAGTCTGCGGGATTTTTTCACTTATGTATCCTAAGCCCTTAGAACAGTGTTTGGCAATTAGTGGGGGATTAACATTAGTTCAATGAATCAATGAGTATGTGCATGAATGAACGAATAACAGTTGTTTGCTTACTTTTTGGTGAGCTTCTTGAGGGCAGGGTCTGAAAATAAATCACCTTTCTATACTCAGCATTCAGTGTAGGATTTTATACAGAGCAGACATCAATAAATTATAGCCCTTGGCCTGGCACTGAAGGCTCCTGCCGCCTACAACTAAGCTTTCTTGCCAGGCTTATTCAATAAAATAGGGTGGGAAGAAGTTTTGGCTGAAAATATGGCACCTGGGTTGGCTTTGCCCTCCTCACTGTGGGTGACTCCTGGCTATCCACTCTGTTTATGCCTGGATCATTGCATGAATGGGACAGATACTGCCAAAATCTCCTGCCAACTATCAGTGGACAATTGTATTTAAGTGTGAGTGATTCTAACATCCAAGTAAGTGTGTGGGCATCAGCTTGAACTGTGTGTGACCACAGGACACGGCTCTGGAGGTACTTGGAAATAGCTGCAGGATATTATTGGAACCTGGTTCTTTGTGAATAAGGGGTATTTCCTGCAGTGGTCCCAATGGTCCCAATTCCTAGAACTGCAGTGGGGGGAGGGGGATTACAAACCAATTCTTCACTAAATGGTGATGGGGAGAATGGCTATTTATGGGGAAAATAAGTTAAAGTCCCACCTCATGCTACACAATAAAATTAATTCTAGCTAATTAAAAGTTAAGTGTGAAAAAAGAAGAAAAATTTAAATACTTTACTTCCATTACATAAAAGAGGATTTTCTAAGAATAAAAATCAGTGAAAGAATTTATATGAAAGAAATCAAAGTGTATATCCATATAAAGAATTGTACTTGATTAACAGATTTACTTGTAGTAGCCCCAAACTGGAAACATACCACATTTCCATTGACAGACAAATGGCTAAGCCAACTGGGGACTAGCCACATGATAGAATACTACTCAGCAATAAAAAGAATCAACTACTGAAACACGCACCAACATATTTTGATGAATCTCAAAATTATTATACTAAAATAAGCCAGATTAAAAAAAGAGTATGAACTGTACAATTCCATTTATATGAAATTCGAGGAAATGTAAAGCACAGTGGGAAAGGGGTGGGAGGAAGTGATTGCAGAGGAGTCTGAGGAAATTTTGGGTGGTGATGTGTAAGTTCACTATCTTGATTGTGGTAATGGTCTTATGCTAGTGTACATGTGTTAAAAGTTATCAAATTGTACAATTTTAAAATGTGCTATTTATTATACCTCAGTCACATCTCAAGAAAACTTTTTAAAAACTGGTGAAAGAAAAGACAAATGAAAAGGGATTTTTAAAAACTTTTTACATAGGTATATCTTATATATAATAACATGCACAAATATGTGTACAATTGAATGACTCTTTATATATGTGTATATTTGTGTAAGGAATGCTCAGATCAGGATCTGGAACATTTCCAGTACCCCAGAAGGTTCCCTCATATCCTCTCCTATTCATTATCCTGCTTAAAGTAACCTGGAACAGGTCAGTAAATTCATTAGGATTCAAATTTAAAACTTCTCTGTGAGAAAATCATCATGAATTATAATAACAAGTAATGTGCTGGAGAAAACAATTTCCACAAATATGACCAAGTGCTACTAACCTTAATGTATGGAAGACTCTTGTAAGGAAAACACTTGAGACCTTAATGGAAAAATGAGCAAAGGACATGACGGAATAAGTCACAGGAAAAGAAAGGAAGGGACGGAGGGATGAAGGACAGAGAGAGAAATGAAAGCGATATTGAATCATTTAGTCACTCAACAAGCATTTATGATGGGCCTCCTATCATCTAGGCATTGGGCTAGG